CTTGCGCTGGGGCGTGTAGACGTGCTTTACCCTGCGTGACTTTGCTCACGCGTTTTTGTGTGCCGATGTCGGCGAGTACGCTCAATATGTTTGCAGGAATGTGGGCACCAGGTGGCGCGAGAATGTCTGAGGTTTGAACGCTTCGTTACCCGTCATTGAGGATATCAGCGTGTGGCCGGTGGTCGTACCGCCAATAGCGGGCATGTTATTCTGGAATACATCACCCGTTTAGACGAAATTATGGATCCCGCGGGCTCCTGAGCCAGTGGAACAATGGAGACCTACCGATATGGTGTATGAAATTAACTAATGCTGCGTCATGGTCGTCATCAGTCTCAGTCATCTATCCGCTGCAGTCACATCGTCGTAAAGAGATTAGAGAGTCACATCTTAAGAGAATTTCTTTTTGCTCGTATGGATGAGAGCTTGTAGCTCAGAATTTAAGCAATTTTCTTTTAACTGAAGTTTTAACTAATTTTTATTTTGATATTCAGTTTCAAGGCCCTTAATGTAAGTGACAGGTTCTGTAATGGAAGCGTGTTCGGGTTTCTGTTATTGCTGCTGGCTCAGTCAGTTAAATGTAGTGCTGACTACCAAAGTTTGCATATCCAGTCGGGAATATCACGCCATCGATGAAAGAGGGCATTCGAGACGGTTGGCCCTTTCCACGCTGCACTGCGGAGGATGCAATGGCTGAAATAACACACCCGCACGCCCAGCCGCAACTAGAAAGGGGCCATGAGGTCATGTAAATCACTTTTCATAGACGATATCGACTGGTTTATGGGGTGGGTGGAGCAATATGCCAAATCGTCGGCTTTACTTAAATTGTTGTTACTTACGATTTGCATAGCTGAGGAACGCAGTTAGCTGAGTGAACCTGGGGAAAAGTCATTAAGCTCGCCATCACATGAATCACGCTCAACGTCCCTATCAAAAATTTGGTGCTCTTCAACCAGGTGAACCTCCCCGGCGCGGTAGGGCTTGCTTTCAAATTTGGTCAGTGAGCTAAGGTGTAAATAAGCTAAGGTGTAAATGTAGTATAACACGTCCTATTGCCACGATGTTCATAACTTCTATGCATTATGCCCTCTCCTTTCCATTTAATGTTACTTGATATCCATTTGCTCCCCACTTCAAATGACTGACGTTGGCGCCAGACATATTTTCAAAGCAGCCTAAATTATCAATTCGTGCCGATCTCAGGGTGAATATGTGCGTGCGATTGCGTGCAGGATTGACTTGAAAATGGACTTGACGACCTGGACCTTTCCCCCAATTTCTGTGCAGCGAGTGCATCATTGCATAGCCAAATATATTTGTCTAAGGGTGGGCAACGAACGAAGTATGTCGGTTTCAACACTCAACGACTGGCAGCCTCCCGTTCATCTTAAAAAGTTATAATTGCTCCGCCTTCTACCTCAACACGCAATCTACAGGGCTCCTATCCTTGAGCACTTATGGCTGAACATCTTCCCCTCGTTACGAAACATAATTGCCTCACTGTTTGGCCTCGGTTGGAAGCCAGGTGAGTAGCGTCCGCTCATAGTACTCCATAGTAGACTCGAGCCGTGGCAACACCGCCCGGCCGCGCGTAATCGCCGTACGGTGCTGCCACCTACCGTTCCCGCCAAAAAGGCAGCAGACGACCCCGCACTCGGGTGTGCTGCGTCGGTGTGAGTGCGGACGAGTCACTCGAGTTCGCGGGCCGCTGGGAGTGGGACGTGCCTGGTCCTCGCTCTCGGTGCCGGTAGCTCGTGAGTTGTGATTTTACTCCATACTGTTGAGCAGTTAGTGTGTTTGGTGTTGTGTTCACTGGTTATTCTCCGATGAAGGTAAGCGAACAATTATTTTGGTTTCTTCACGTAAGGATTGTTTTGTGATTATACGCAATGTTTGTAAATGTTCTATTGCAGAACCTGTAGTTGTCCGGAAAAGTTATGCAACTATGTTAACATTTTTTAGTACCTGAGTGTTATGATTCAGTGAATTGCCGCTTTGGTTGCGCAGGTTCTAGCCCTCGAAAACTTGGAACACGCGCTGTTTAATTTTGCGCGTCCGGTTGCCTTGCCCAGCTGCAGAAGTCTACTGATGTGCCTGCTTTACATTCAGATATGGGAGGTATCCGCTTTTAGGACTTGAGTATTTGTCCCTGGTGGGTTTGATAGCAGACCATGTTTTGTTACAGGTATGAATTTAACCATCGAGCACATCATGGATGATTTTTTTACTCGGGACGACGTCTGCATGGACGAGGAGCTGAACACCATCATGAAGAGCGAGGATGTCGCCGCTATGGACCCGTATCCGTTTTACCCGATATTGGACGGTGGTAACGACATTTGCACCGGCAAGGGTGACGGCTGTGACGTGTGCGGTGTAGTGCGGACGTTCGGTGACGGTCTGGGAGCGCTCTCGTGCAGCCCCACTCAGCTGCCCCTGCTCGATTGGTTCGACGTCGAGGACCAGCTGGGGGAGCCCGCGGAGCAGGACGCCATGCGCTGTGTGAATATCAACCAGATCTTCAACATGCCGACGAAGGTGTGCAGCCAAGATAGTGCAAGTAACAAGGACAAAGTGATCAGTGACTGTATGTGGAGTAGCAGCAGCTCGCATCGACTGGACATGTCTGAGCTGGACACGTCGCCGCTGCCCGCGCTCAGTGTCGAGAACGATGTAGAGTTCAGCCGACCTGACACCCCGCAGACCGACTCGGAGTCGCATTTCACGGACAGTGACGACCTGATCCAGAGAGTGCCCAAGGAAAAAGTTGTGAGAAAACTGCCTTCCGCGCCCGAGCAGGCTTCGACTATGTGTGGTCGCAGCTTGCTGAAGCGCAACCAGTTCAGTTTAAAAGTGGCGCGCGCACCGTTCCGCCCGGAGTCCAAAGCAAGCCTGTCGTCGCCTTCCGGGGATAGCAGCTACTCAGGCGACCATAGCTACTCGGCGACGAACTGCATCGGGATCCTGACTCCCTCTCCATCGCCTTCGGAATCGAGTTCAGGTGAGATATTTTGCCTGCCAGCTATTTTTCTAGTCCGCACCCTGCATCACCGCCCGCTCACGGCATTTCATCCCCTCGCCTCGTCCGCTCCCGTAAATCCCTGCCGTCCGGCGCCCATTGCCGGCGGCGGTGCTACGCCGGTACCCGGCGGTCGGACTGACCTTGACGGTCGGGCCTCAGCCAATCACGTTCGCCGACCAGCCGGCGGAGCGCCCGTTTTTGGCGGGAACGGGCGCTGGCCGGCGCGCGGCGGACGAGGCCATGGACCATGCTGAGTGTGCTATACGTAATCAATGGGCGCGTGCGGCGCGTACGTGTCGCTCGCGCCGGTGGTTTTTCGCGACGCCGCTTGCCGGGACGTTTCCTTCAACAGCCGAGCTGTGTGCTGGGCTGTGAGCTGTGCGCTCCCCGCCTCCCCCATGCGTGAATCGGCGATAATGGCTCGTGTTGACGCGGCGCTGCTCATTAGCTCGCCTGCGCAGCGACACACGCCGGCCGTCTCTCAGCGGGCCACGTAATGAGCCGCTGTGCCTGCGTCGGAGCATAGGCGGCATTCGCGGGCACGCTCGACGGCCGCTCAACTCTTTTGTTGTCCTTGATAGCGTTCCGCGTGACCAGCCAAGTCAATGCATCCACCTGCCGGCCGGCGGCCGTCCGTGATAAATGGCTGCCCCGGACGGGCGGCGGAAAAGCGCGCGTGCCGCGCCGTGCGCTATCTGGGGACCCACCAGTGCGTCCGGCGACGAAGGCGCTCTCGCCGCTAAGTTTTCACTGTCTAACCGCGATGTTTTCCCGTTCCCGGCGCGCGTGGCGGTGGCTACTGGCGGCGCCCGACACGGCGATTTTTTTTCGTCAGGCCTGCTGGCACTGGTCCGACTTCTTGCGGCGGCCATTGAGGCGTTGTGGGGTACAAAAACAAACGTGTAGTACTACGGCGCGGCGATTGTAAATAATGGGGGTTTCGCTCCCGCGAGTACCGCGCAAGTTCAAGGCCAGACGTCCGGTGCCGGCGGCGGCGGCAGTTTCGCTCGAGCTGCATTGCCGGTGGCGGTGTTTTTTTTTTTTGACACGCCTGTCGCGCCGAGCCGCGCGGAGGCAGATTGCCGGAGACGGTCGGCGGAGCCTCCCGTCTGCGCACGCTGGATCGATGCTACGCGCTCTCGTGGCGCGTAGTAGTCGATCACGCACGGCACGGCTGGGCGGCAAATCGATGTGCGCGCCCACGGTCGGCGCTTGCGCGGCTTCCGCCCGGTTACCGGGCGGCGGCGGCCGCGCCCGTCTGGCGCGTCGTCGGCCGCCGGCTGAAGTGTCTGGGCCGGGCCGACGGCTGCCAGCGCCCGGCCGCCCGGGTCTGCGGCCGCCGGCGCCCGGTGAGGAGGCCGCTCGCCCAGCCGCGTCCGACACCGACTGTGCGCGCCACGAAAATAGCGCGCTCCCGACGTCAGCGTGTCTGGCGGCGCAGCGCCCAATCGGCTGCCGTCTGCGGCGCGGCGGCCGGGGCGCGCCGCGGTCGATCGGTGGCCCGGCCACGCCCGCCGAGGTCATGCGCCGTAGTAACAGGCGGCGAGCGCCGCCGACCGGCCGGCCGTCGCTGAATAACGCGCCTCTGCCGGCCGGGCCGCGTCGCGCCGCCACCGAAATAGGCCCGCCGTCCAGCCGTGGGATCACGCGCCGTTTTTGCCACGGCGTCAGGCGCGCCAGCGCCGCCGCCCGTCAAAAAGGCACGCGTGGGAGGGCGGGACGGTCTTTTTACGGCGCGGCACGCGGCTGGCCGTCGGACAGTTCCTCTCGCGTCATGCTCCGCCCGCTCTGTCCGCGTCGGCGGCAACTGACCGGTGCCTCTTCTCTCTTTTGCAGAGGATGACAACGACGGGCGCTCGGCGCGGCTCAGCTTGGGGCGCCAGCGGCGCGCTCCTGTCGACTCTCTTGCGCTCTCTGAGCGGCTGCTGCACCGGCCGCTCAAGGCGCGCAAGCGCGTCGGCGTGCACAAGTACCGCAGCGACCGGTGTCGCATGCCGTCGGACGACGACCAGCCGCCGCCGGAGCGGCGCAACAACCACAACAACATGGAGCGACTGCGGCGCGACCTGCTTCGCGGCGCGCTCAACAGCCTGCGCCGCCTCGTGCCCGACACGGCCGGCAACGATAAGGCACCCAAGATCACGGTGCTGCGCGAGGCGGCCAAGTACTGCCTGATGCTGCGCGGCAAGGACGAGGCGCTCACGAAGCAGAAGCGCCGGCTGGAGGAGCAGCGGGCCGCGCTGCAGCGGCGACTGGAGGCGCTGGAGCGCGCGCGTTAGGCGCCGCCCAGCCAGCGCGACAGACTCGAATAAATTTCATTATCGTGCGGGCGGTGGGAGCGGCGGCGTGCGCGGCGCCGTCGGGCCCGACGTTATCGACTCATCCCGTCATATGCTGGTGTGCACCCGCGTCGCGCTGAAGAATAATGCAGTTGGCCGGTTAGTTCGCTTTTAACGAGAAGCTTCTTTAGTTTAAGAGAGCTTGGAAGTGTGTTTCTGTTGTTTTGCCGGTAGAAGTAGTTGCGTTGAGAAAAAGCACTTGATTTGGAGTCTTTGCGGCCCCCTTTCGTTGCTCAAGGCGCGGGGTGAACCCGAACTGTCGCAGTCTTGAAGCGCGGCGATGGGTCGACGGTGTACGTTTAAGTGTGCGTGTGTGTGAGAGAGAGCTTGTTCTGCTTCAGTGGCCCGCTGCAGGCTTGTTCATCGGTGTGGCTATGGTCAGTGGTGACAACTGGCGTCTCAGGTACACATAGTCATTAGCAACAAATTTTCTGGACCCACCATCCAAATTGGCGTGATGGACTTGCCGATTGGTTTTGTACACAGCGGGCACACCTGGTCACGGCAGTCCTGTAGATATGTAAACCAGAGTTGTATGTTGGATATGATTTAAATTGTACCGTAGCTCGCGCGGCGTTGTGGGCCTTTCGCCGCGGAGGCTGGGCATTGGCTGGCTGGCGACCGGCGACAGTGGGAACGTCAGAATTGCGCCGTGTCCTCGCGCTCCGCGTTGGCCTTGTGCTTTGCGCACAATGTAAACTGTGTATATTTACAGTTAAGAGTCCGGTAGTTTTTTATCGATATATTTTGTGCGTGTGGTTCGGGTGTAGCGGCTGGCGGCGGACCCCAGTTGGCGAGCGTCCGGGCCTCGGCCAGCACGCTTGTGTACAGGGAGGTGGTTATCGGCCCAGGGCACTGTGTGGCGCATTTCCTAACGCCTTCTTGACGCGTCTCCTTTCGTTACCTGTCGCGCTCTTCGGCGGCGGGTGAGTCGGGCGGGCGCGCCCTCCCGGCTCGCCTCGGCGGCTTCCTGCGTCGATTCGGGACTCGTCAAGGGACCACTTGCCTCGCATTTTGACTGCCGTGATTCGCCTTCGTGGTGCCATCCCAGGGAACGGGCGCTAGTACAAAGCATAGATTAATTATATTGAGCGTGGAGGAGCCTGGTTCCCCGGGACGACGCCAGAGGCGGACGCGAACGTAGGAAGGACAAACCACTTGCGCGTTAAATTGTTTTGTGCCAAATTAAGTATGTTCCTTTCGTACCCTCGGGCCGAAGTGTGCTGCATGTAAAAGACAGGAAAGGTACTTAGTTTTATATTGTGTGCGGATATTTGCTTTCTAGGTAGTGTAGCAGTCGGTCACATAGCTACGTGGAGTAAAATATATCACTGGAACTAAGTCGCTGTTTGTTCAACCCAACGCCTGGGAGGAGGCGCCACTGATCGGCGACTAGCAGGCACGAGCCGAGCGGCACTGCACCATCGCTGCAGTGGAGAGGGTGCCGGTGCGGGCACGTGCGGGACCCGGGCGCCGGCTGTTGGCGAGGTTCGGCGGCGATGCGCTCGGCGCGGCCGGCGACCGTGACATGGAGAGGCCCTCGGGCGATCGATGCCCGGCCAGACTGTGACGTCAGTTGGCGGCGGCCCCGCCCGGCCGCCGCGACGTACTATGGCGGAGGGGAGACACACGGCGGCACTCCCGGTAGAGTACTACTGCCCGGGGGTCGTGCGCTGGGAGGCCTTCGGCGCGCCGGAGAAGAAAAAAAAGCTGGTGTAGTGCCACGGCCGAGGCGAGGGGGAGGGAGGCGTGGCGGAAGGCGATTGTTGTGCTGCGCGCGGGAGAGAGCTGTTACGTGCGGGAGAGGGCGCTGGCGCGACACAAGGGCTTTAGGTGAGACGATCGTAGTACTACGGCAGGGAATGATGCTACGTCGGGGGTTATCGGGACGCAGGAAAGGGTGTGCCAATCCCCGAGCGCCGGGCGGCCACGCTATGGGGATGGGGCTTCATTGCTACAGCGGAATACGGAAGGTAGGCTCATCTAGTGGCTATTAGAGATAATATTTATTACTGTGCCGGTGCGGTGAGAACGCTTTGTCGGCGGCCGGTCGCGTCGCACCGCAGCATGAAATAGTGCCTCTGGCGCGCTCAGGTACGCCGCCCGCCTCGATCTCACGCGTTTGTGGGTCGTGAAGCGACAGCTGCGTCTGCTCACACGCGCCGTGCAACCGCCACCCGCCGCCGTCCCACCCGCCGTACACCCGGGAGTGGCGACTCACTCCGCCGAAGTGGCGTAGCCGCCGAGCCCCCGCCCCCGTCCGGCGGCGGCGAGACGACAGAGCTCCCGTTACGTCCGGAGCGCCGGCGCCGGCGCCGCGTCGGCGCGCGGCGCTCCTGTTGTCGTCGCGTCTGCCCTGTTGCCAGGCAGTGGCGGCGGTCGGATGAGCTCCGGCGGGCGGCGCTGGAGCGTACGCCGCACGGTACGCAGACGCGCCGGCCGGCCACCGCCGCCGTCCGGTGTAAACACGGCGGAGGGAGAGAGGAGCGGAGCGGAGAGAGGAGCGGCACGGAGTCGCGGCCGGACCGCAGCTCCGGCGGAGGCACACGCAGGTCGGGGGTAACGCGGGAAATCGCGGAGGCTACTCTCGCGCCGGAGCCTCAGCGGGAAGGAGGCAGCAGGGAAACGCAGGCCATGCAGAAAAAAACGCAAAAGCGATCCTGCGTCGAGCCTTCAAACGTGCCAAGGTGGGGGACGGAGGGGCGAGGAAGGGGAGGAGGGGAGTGAAGCAGATAAACACGGGCATTCACCGCAGGAGCCTCTACAGAACGCCGGAGTGTGTGTGTGGGGGAGAGGGGGGGGGGGGGGGTCGACAAAACTGTTGCAGTGAGGCGGCGTGAGCAAGGCGCCCCTGCACCGACCGCCTGAACGGGAGGGAGAGAGGAGCGAAAGGTGCGCTCACCTACATACCGCGAGCAATCGCGTGCGTCGGCGCATGCTGACACGCACACCTGCCAGCTGGCGGCCAGCCTTCGGCCCGTGCCACCGCACGCCCACGCACATGGTAAAAACGCCGCCGGCGGCGGCGCGCCGCAACGTCCGCGTCTGCGGCGGCCGCAGCCTCTGCGGGCCGAAAGTGCGCGACGGGCGGCGGCCGGCGCGCGCCGAGAGGGAACAAAGGGCGGAGAAGGGCGCGGTCGGGGATGAGCCGTCTTCGCAGTGGGTCAATCGATGCGCTGCAAGGTTGCAGCGGCGGCTGCGCGCGCCGGCCGTCGCCACGGGGTAACAAACCCCGCTGGTAACATGCAGGAGTTCGATGATCACTGCGTGGCCGGTGAACCAAAAGGCGACCGCGGTGTTTTGGCGGTGCGGGCCGCGGCGGCGGGGCTATCGCGCCCGGCGGGCCCGCTATGTGCTCCATCTCTCTCCGGTAGCTTATTAGCGCATAGTTGGAAGGGTGGCGATCGCGCGGCGTAATGAAGGCGCTGTTCATTCTCCCTCTCGCTCAGGGCGTGTGCGGAGGGGGGGGGGGGGGGGTGGCGTCTCCGTCCAATATATCGCCCCTGCAGACGAGGCCCGTTATCAGCCCTCGGGAGGTCGCGTATGCAGGCGGCGAGGCGAAAACGGGCTGACTCCATCTGCCGAGACCGCCTGCGGCCGTCGGGGAGGGGGGGGGGGGGCCTCGCCGGGGAGATACACGGTGGGATATGGATGGATATGGGTTATGGATCTCACCGCGGCTTCCCAGATGCGGCGCGGGATGGATGTCCTGATTTCGGTCGCCGGAAAGCCGGCCGGCCCGCGTTGGTAGATCTCGGAGCGTGGGCAGCGGCGGATCTAGCCTGGAGTTGTTTTTTTTTGGGGGGGGGGCAACCTTTCGTCGCCAGCTGGCTGGTGTGAGATCCGAGGTCCAGTGCATGGTGCCTGTCGCGAGTACCTAGTAGGGACACCATTCAAGCACCGAAATGCTTTTCAATCTTCTATATACAGTGTGCATGTTTACACAGCTCGTAACATAAGATATTACTTTCAAGAGTAGACGAAACTTTTACGAAGTTCTGGGAATGCTTTGGGAGGGGGCCAAAACATACTCTCAGAGTTTCTGGGGGCCATGACCCCGTCCCCCCCAGGATCTGCCTATGAGCGTGGGGAAGTGCGCATCAAAAAGGGTCTGAACTTCGAACCCTGTCCGTTGCGCTTACCCTGGACTCCAAACTGACGGTAGAAAGGACAAGGCGCCTTTGTAACAGGTTTTAATGATGTGGTGGCGCGAGGAGGGAATGTAAGGGTGGGGGAACGTGAGTGGAGTTCAGGCATGACCAGCAACCTTCGACACCAGCTCGAGTTGCTACTCGGCCACGTACAGGCTCGCTGCAAACCGACAGAAAGGTCGGCTCCGTGCTTCTCTCTGCAGCAGTGGCAACCGGCGGACACCCAGCTAAGGCCTCATGTGACCCCTATAGAGCCGGATCACACCCGATCACGGTGCCGTCTGGTCCGGCAGACGAGGTCACGTGGTGACTGACGTGGACAAAAGGCCCCTCCGGTGCCTAACACAGAGTGACCGATTGGTACGGCGGGGGGCCTGCTCACGGCTATCAATTAGGGATATCGCCTCACAGGCGAAAATTGGCCGTGGAAAACACACCTCGAAGGGCCAACAATAGGAAAATTGCCACCCACCGGTGCGCCCGACTTCAATCACTGAGGCCAGAGGCGGAGCCAGGCGGGAGGCGCGAGCACGTGCGCACGGGGCACTCCGGGCCACGCTCCCGCCGCTGCCTCTGCCACCTCTTGGCTGTCGTCGCTGCCAGCTGAAAAGAAAAACAGAAAGTGCGCCGGCGCGCATAAATTTGAGGTGTGATGTTTGGAGAGGAGCAGGACTGTTGCCCATTGTATAACCGTGCGTTGAGTGTTCAGGCTCCAGCATTTATTCCTGAGTTTACGTCTGCTCCGGCAGTCCCTGCTGTGCAAACCGATGTAATAACGGAAACTCCAATGTTGATCCAGCACTCCAGTGGCCAGGCCAAGGAAAAGGGTGTGAGAGCGCTTTACTGGTCAAGTGTTTCTATCTGCCTCGTCAATCTCTACGTTGGAATCCTGCTCCGTACTCTGGCGCTGCTGACAACAGCCACGCCGTCTCCTGCGTCAGATCTGAAATGACGCAGCGTCTGTCCATCGCAAGCGGCACATCTTCGATGCCTTGTGTCGGGCCGCAGCCTGTGACCAACAGCAGAGCGTCGTTACTTGAACAAGATAGGCTATCTTTGACAACACTGCCGCGACACATCTGCGCGCCGGCGAGACGCTGTTGCGCCATGGACGCTTGGAGGGGTTCCAGTGAGCAGCGATAGGGGTTAAACCTCTAAAAATGAGCGACCGATGTACCCATTAGTTTCGTTTATTTGTGGGCCATCACCCGCTGAGGCGATTCTGGTTGTCGTTGACCCCATGCAGAGCTGTACACCTGATTGTGTAATCTTTCACTGCTGAAAACTCCGCTGTGTCATCAGATATCATAAGCCTTGCCCTGCTATGAGTAGCGGCAACTTCTGACATAATTTCCGCGATTCACGTCATTGCCAAGAGCCGCCCATTCACCATTCACCACTTCGGTCCACTCGCCCTGTTTCATACGCTTCATTCGATCCACTCTGCGCCGAAGTCTCACTCCTCGTTCCATCCATGTTGTTGCAATCGCCAGGAGCCCTCACGGTCTACCCTTTCCACCCGATCCATGGCGCTTCGTTACGGCCGACACTGTTAGATAAACGCTACTCATGTCCTATATCTGACTGTTCTGATCTATCCCATTTCACTCGTTCCACTCCACGCACACTGTTAAGCCTGCCGGGCGTTCCGTTTTACATGCTCCCTTCTGCTCATTCCGCCCGACGTGTTCTTCATTATATTTGCCTTGTTCCGCTTCCCCGTTCCATCTGTTTCATTCCGCCTGATCCGCACGTTCCATTTTGCTCGTCCAGCGTTCCGTTCTACCCATTTTATTCCGCTTCACCCATTCTATTTTGTCCGTTCCCCCGTTCCGTCCCGCTCGCCCGCCGATCCGTTCCACCCATCTCGTTCCGTTTCACCCGTTCTGTACGGCCCGTCCGCCGTTCTCCTCGGCCCATTTCGGCGGCGGCGGGCCGACGGCGGCCCATCTCCGGCGGCGCCTGCGGGCCGGATCCGGGCGGGTGCCAGCGGCCGCGGCGGGGGTGCCGCCGGGGTCACCCTCGGGGTCACCCCCGGGCGGTCCGGCCCGGCCGAGTGCTCCGGGCATGACGCAGCCACTCGGACAACCAGCCGGAACGGTCGGCGACGCAGGGCGACACAGCGCGGCGGCTCGTCGCTCAGCTCCGGGGACGGCAGGCGCGGTCACAGCCGAGCCAATGGTCGAAAGA